TATCTGGCTCCTGCTGACAGGACCCTGTGCGGATCTGCCAGTGCACGAGATGTTCATAAGAGGAGAATGTGAGATATTCAGCAATAAGCACAGACCTTCACTACTGACTTTATGTACATTAGCTCCCACTTTCACATTCGATAGAGAAGAACATAAGCCACCAACTCAAGAAAAGATCAACCAACTCAATGGCTGCACTGCCCAGCATTTGCTGCCTGGACAGATCTCCAGCTGTGCCTGCTTTCTTTGTCAAGACAACCGAGTTCTGACTGCCCAGGAGAAAAACCACATTCATCGATTTAGAAGAGCACTTCTAACTTAACACATTCCTTTCCAAAACTGATGCTGAAAATAAGTCTTCCCTCATCTTGACATCAGAAAAATACTTGCGCCTGGTTTTGAGTAAAATTTGCAATTCAGATTTGAGCTGACATCATTAAGTTACCGAGCTCTATTCCATCTACAAACAAAAGATTATCCTCAAAAGAGCTAACAAATTTTTTTAGCAACCAATCAGGAATGCTGTCTTCACTGCCAGATTCACCTCCAGCTGAATAAGCGGGAGACACAATTTGCAGATCCCTGAGGCTATCCTAACAAACTCTTAATTTTCAGAACTCTGGGTAAATCCTTACACCGCAGCTTCTGCACAGGAAGGAATTACTCTCAAACTTCAGCTAGCTTTGGCAGGGCACTGGAAATTCATCTGCTGGTTTATCAAACAGGCTCTAACCGAGGCAGCTGGCAGAGTCCCACAGAGTGAGGGCAGTTAAGGATTACATCATTGATCTGTTTCAGAAGACGTCTGTGAACAAAAGAAACCAGCTAACTGCAAAGAAACCAGGTTCAGGAAATGGAAGCGTGTTGTCCTCTTAGATTCTACCAAAAGGCAGCTTCCCAGCGTTCTGAGCTGGCTGTATTAACAAATCCTTATTTAAATACAGCATCTGATGCTTATGCATAAAAAGATTAAAAATTCACTGCATTATCCATAAAGACATTAACAGGGAAAGGAATTTTTACACGCATGCTTCAGCAGCTTAAAGGGGAAAAGTTCAGCCTTGTAGCTCAACACATTTAGGGGAAAAAACGTTCCGGAACAGTGGTCTTAAAATAAGAACAATCAATAATGAAGTTGCATTCTTGCTGCTGAAATCAAAGCGGTCTGTAGGAACCACATGATATCTTATAATAAAGATTGCATGTTTAACCCTTGGAACTCACCACTGCGGCACTGCAAACCCTACCTATTACCAAAGTTTCAAAATACATACCAGCTATCTTCTTCTTCATTGCAGTTCTCAAGTTCCAGCACTTTCACTTCATCCAGAGCCGTGTTATTCAAAAGGCTTTCTATATCTCCACATTTTTTGTTGGGATTTTGTTGGCTTGTTTTAACCGTGGGCTCAGTACCTGCAATGACCAGGTTCCCCATCAGCTCCGTGCTATTACTCCTATCCACACGTGACGAACACCTCACGTTATCATCAGTCTTCACCTCCACCTTACACGTGTCAGACGACAGCTCCCCAGGGGCACTGAGGCAACCGTACTGCGTTTGGGCACCTATGTCTTTTTTGAAGCAGTTGTTCTCCCCCTCCTCTTTTCGGATTTTGCTCAATTTGCTGTGCAGATCTGCCATGATTTGCAATTCTTGCTTCTCGGCCATGGCGTTGATGCTGTTGTTGATTTCCATCCCGTTGAGCCCAGAGTCGTGGTTATCCACGCCGGCGCGCATCTCGCTCTGCAGCGCTGTGCCAAGCACGCTCCTGCGACTCCTCGTCCTCAGGTGCTGGTTCTGGATCTCCAGCCTCCTCACCAGCTCCTGCAGCTTCCGCACCTCCTCCAGCTCCGGGCCCACCTCGCCGGGCACAGGCTCTGTGCCGGGGCCCATGGCGGAGCTCTGCGTCGGCCCTCGCCCCACGTCAGGCTCCAGAGCACGGTCCTGCTGTATGAGCGGGGCGCTCCCAGGAACCACCATCATGTGAGACACACTGCTTCGCTGCGAGACAGGAAAAACACGTCAAGCCTACAGAAACGTGCGCAGTATTGCAAAGAAATGTGACTTGAAAGCCAAAAAATGTCAACTTTCATAAGAATAAGCAAACTGAATTGAAAAACCTAGCAAAAAAGAACAAATGAACGCCTTTTAGGAGGAAGTTTTTCACACAGAGGGTGGTGACGCACTGGAACAAGTTCTCCAAGGAGGCTGTGGATGCCCCATCCCTGGGGGGATTCAAGGCCAGGCTGGATGTGGCTCTGGGCAGCCTGGTCTGGTGGTTGGCATCCCTGCACATAGCAGGGGGTTGAAACTAGATGGTCACTGTGATCCCTTTCAACCCAGGCCATTCAATGACTCTATGATCCTAGAACATAACACCTTTAAACACACGCACTAATTATTTTACCCAGCTCGGATGCTCTGCTGCAAATCAGAGCAGATAAAAGGACGCCGATTTAATCACGCACAGCAGTTCAGCTTCCATCTGTTTACAAGTGAAACACACGAGAAAAACACCGACCGAGCAAAGTCAGGAAGCACAATTAGCAAAGTACTGACGTCAGATAATGACAGCACGAAGCAAGCGGCAAAAACAGCCTTTGTTCGCTCCCAGGTTTCCCCTGCAGAAACACACACACACACACACACGACGTTTGCAGACACAGCGGTGAGCCGACACAGAGCTGCTCCCAGCGATGCCTACGGACAGGAGCCGAGCGGAGCTCAGCACCGCCGCTATTTTACCGGCACGTTCTGCCCCTGCAAGCCGAGACGGAGGCAACTGCTCTGATGCCAACACAGCAACAAAACCACGGGTAAGCAAATCGCAGCACGGATTGGGTATCCCGGTAAGTTTTACAGGGGGAAGCCATCTCTTCGATCGGCTGTGCCGGCCGGGGAGCGTGCCAGAGGCTCGGCTCAAGCTGCGGACGCGCTCGTGCTGCGCGGAAGCCACGAGGTGCCGCGTTCAGCTTCACGCACCGAGCGACTGAGCGAACAGCGATTTTCCCTTTCCCCGGCGATCCACGAGAGCCCTCGGTCTCGATACGTTTCCGAACCGACTCCTCCCCGAAAAGCCCCGGCTACCAGAGGAGCGAGTGGCGCACAGCCCGGACCGCAGGGCTGCACGGGCTGACACGCCGCTGCCACCGCAGCACGCGGCCCCGCGCCGCCCGGCTGACAAAGGGAGCGGCGGGAGACAAACCGGTCCGCGCCGAACGCCGTGACGGACCGACCGACCCCGCGGCGAAGCGCCGCTCAGCGGGACAGCCGGGCGCCGCCGGCGGGGGACCGAAGGGGCGCGGGGAACCGGCGCCGCGGGGAGGGGCCGCCGCGACGGGCAGGGGCGCGGGCCGGTCCTACCCAACCGAACGGAACCGGGCCCGGCCCGGCCGAGCCCGAGGCTCCGGCGCCGCTCCCCTCCCGCCCCCTCGCACGTACCTGCGGGCCGCCGCCGCTCCTTCCTCCGGCGACGGACGGAGCCCCGCTGCCGGGCGGGAGAAGGGCGCCGCCGCCGCGCGCGCATTCGGGCCTCGGCCACGCCCCCTGCCCTCCGCCGGCGCGCGTGCGCGGGGCTGAGAGGAGCGCGGGACTGAAGGGAGCGCGCGGCCGCGGCCCCCGCGGGGATCCCGGCGTGCACGCGCCGTCCTGCGGCCCCTAACGGGGTTCCCTCGGGGGGATGGAGGACGGGGCCGCGGCTGGGGGCCGTTTCCGTGGCGGCGAGCAGCGCTTCTTGGGGCCTTCGTGTGTGCTTGGGTGGTTCCACGCGAAAACAGTGAACGGCACTTGAGATGCAGGCGAGCCGTGGCTTTATTAGAGGTGTGTGCTGATGTTACATCATTGCTACGGACCGCACAGCGCCAAGGAGGTGGTGCAGAACACACAGCGGGTGAACCTGCTCCCCAGCAGGCCACAAACCCACCAGCTATTGCCAAATACAGCATTTCCACAGATCAGCTTCTCGAAGGCCATCCATATCCGTAGGCCTCTTACCATCTCCTAACATCCTAATAACACAGAAATGGAGGCAGCCCACACGCTCTGCTGTTGTTGGGCCTCTTGTTGTGTGTAGAACGGAGCGTCAGGATTCCCCATCAGGCTTTCAGGTCCGGCTCTGAAGCTTGCCGTTAGCTGGGCTGTTACCATTTCAGCTGGAGTTCCCCTCCTGGAGTGCTTTTAAGGTCATGCTTACAGTCTGCTTAAATAAATGGTTGTGGCCTAAAATAAAGCTATGGAGCTTTAGTGGAAACACTAACTTGCTAAGCTTTTGCATGCATGCCAGCTTCCATCACTAAGAGCATAAAGAATTACCTGTCTTACAATAGTCTGCTTAGAGCTTTTGCCATCCCCTGTTGGCATGTAAGAGCTACTACAGAACTGGTGTTTTGCAAACATTCCTAATGCTTTAAAAGAGAGAAAAGTAACCCTGTAGGCACATTCAGAGCCGTACATCTAAGGCACAGAGCTTCCAGCTTCCAGTGTTCGACTTTCCTAATCTCTCAGCATCTGAACTAAGGGCTAAAATTATGCAGCTCTGACTTTTAGAATGTACAGCACCTGCTAGAAGGTCAGTTTTGTGAGTGAGCATTTGTGATGTAAATAAGTTACAGCAATAAAAGGGGCATTGCAGCAAGCCTTGGAGATGGGGGAAAAATCAGATTTCAGTTAAGCAGTGATCCTTGTCGGGAGAGCCAACTGAGATACTGATTCTCTGGCACGTGTCGTATGGCCACTGGACACCTACCATCAGAGGCCGAGTGATCACTCTTTCACTTGGTAGTTTATCTTCCCCAACAGACAGCAGACACACTAACTGCTGGAGGAATTCACTAGGGAGTAGGAAGAGAAGGGAAATTAAAGCTGACACACTAAAAAGTGAATGGAGTGGGTCTGCGAGTGCTCCTGAAAGGCCGTGGAAAGCATGCTGAAATCAGGCAGAAGCTTTTTCGAGGCAAAATTTGGGGGGTGAAAGAAGCAGAAATAGGCTTTGCTACCAAATGTGGTGTTTAACACTTCTTATAGCTGCTTGCTTTGTGCCAGCTGACACGCACTAAGCTGCAACCTGATTGCAGAAATGAAAAAAAAAATAATCAGAAAAGGTTTCTCGCAATTAAATTAAATAGACTTAAGGAGCTCTGCCTGGTTTCCAGCACAGGAGCTATCTGGAATCTTAATGAAGTTAAAGACAGGTAGAGGGGCTCAGCACCTCTGGAAAATCAGCCCACCTATCTTTTATAGATGACACTGCCTTATCTTGTTAACATTGGCACTTGTCTTGCATGCAGCTGACAGCATAAGCTAGCAGATGTTAAACTCATTCATTGTGATGAGGCAGTGAGAGGGAAAATAATTTGCAGAAAAGGGAAGCAGGAATTCTGCTATCTTAGCCAGTCAGGAAACAGTAGATATATTCAGATATGTGCTGCTGAGGACTTTCCACTGGCTGCTTTCTCCAGCTTTGCAAAACCCTGCAAGCAAATAAAGAGAAGGTGAACAGAGGAGCTGAGCAGCACACAAAACACGGCATTACAAAGGTCAGTGGAGCAGATGAACATGCAGGAAGGGGATGAAGAAGACGACTAGCTAGTCACATTGCATTAAGAGATCAACAAAGCAGCCATGTACATGGTGAGGCAGGTGCCTCGTTCCTTCCTTCCTCCATCACAAGGCAGAGGAAGGAAAGGAGGCATCTCATCATAATTTCAGTGCACTGGCAGTTTCCAATTGCCATCGTGTCGATACAAACCTCATCCAGACTATCAAATAAAACAAAAAGCTACCTAGTCTAATTCCTTGTTACTTTCTCAACAGAATGTACAGCTCTTTATTTTCCAAGTGCTTTAAATAAAGCAGGTTAGACCATGACAGGAGAGAGAACTGTACCCTCAGAGTGGACTCTCCACCTCTGAGGGATATTTGTCTCTCAAATCAGCCAGTCTTCTGCTTGCTTCTGGGAGTGGGGCTATAACAGTCTGTCTGTCACACTGCAACCCCAGGCTCTGACCCCTGGTGCCAGCTGGAACACATTTCTAGCTACTTTTGTAACAAGGCTCACAACTTCCCACTATAAAAACCCCACTGAAAAATTCAGTGATTTTGAGGATTAAATGCTCTTCACTCAGTAAACACTGCATGAGCTCTCTCATCCAGTCCTGTGTGCTGACACCATACAGGAGGACTCACCTAGAAGAGTTTCTCGTAGCACTTGTCACAGTGGACAATATCCCGGTGGATGAATATTTTATCCAGAAGATCTCCCATTGCTTTGTGGCAAATTCCACACTGCCAAAGAGACAACAGGATGGTTGAACAGTAACCAATGCACCACGTGCTGACGTTAGTATGATGGGGACAGATAAATGAACAGTCTCTGTTCCATTTTTGGAAGGATGAAGATGCCAAAGCAGTGACTTTTGAGACTAAACATCCTTCTAACAGACAACTGGCACTGCAGGCTTCCTTCATTCACACCCACCACTTCCACAGGCTCTACAGTTTGAGAGATTCAGCCAGCCCACACTGGGGAGAAAAGACCACAAAGCAGTAAGTCTAACACAGGGATGTGAGGGAAGGGGGTGCTGCTATCTACTAGATGACAACTTATATGCATTTACGTGAAATGAAAATCTGAGGACACAACCAACATTTGTGTCTGCATCATTTTTTGCTCCAATGTGGATGCAAGCATTTAGCATAGCCTATATAAGTCGAACAAAGCTTCAGAATTTGCACCACCTCCCACCACTCTGTTTCACTGCAGCACAGAGAAGACCATCAACACTAAAGTTTTCTTTACCCTGAAGCAGTATTCATGGCAGTAGATGTTAAGGTGCTCTATTATGATCTTAGGGCAGTCTCGGATCTCACGGCTGCAGTAAGTACAAACAGGTTCACTGGACCTTTGAAAGAACAGAAAAGTAAATTCCTGCACCATGGTGCCTCTGTAACACAAATAGTTTCTTGTCTCATCGCTGGTAAAGAGGTTTCTTAACACCAGCACTGCTCCACTCCAGATTCCTGCTTCTACATGTATTTGACAGTCCCAAGTGACAATATGGAAACATGATAACCCAGGGATGCAGAGATGAGAACAGCAGGGCAGTACAGAGCTTTAAGTCAGTGTCACTGTGTTTTCTGAAGATCACTTAAATTTCATGCTATGATTTCACCAAATGCATACCAGTACTGTAAAAGTCTTAGTCATTTCTTTTCAGCAGTGTACCAAAACCCCTACACAGCCCCAAACTCCCCTACCTCTGCAGGGGAGCACTGGACACGTAGCTGTGGTGGCTGTAGGTTCCTCTCTCCAAATCGGTCAAATCCACAAGGCTGCCACTAGAGACAGAAGAAAATGTCAGCACTTGACAATTATACATGGGAGGAACACTGCAGATGGAATCATTAATGATTTATCTTAAAATTCTAACTGCAGTGTCCCAGCTGCCTGCTCCTTGGAGAAAAGGATGGTCCTTCCAAGGTGAAACTGTAAGCAGCAGTACCTCCATCGTTGCACTCCACACTCTGTGAAGGGTGGCTATATCCTGCCCCTAGTTCCATATCACAGCCACGGGTGGGCCAGACCCACAATGCTGCTCTCAGAGGTCCAAATAGATTTGCATAGAACAGGTGCCTCCAAAGATAGGCCAAAGGGGCAGAAAATAAAATATCTGGGGGCCACTGCATGTCAGAGCTCTGAGAAATGTGTCTGGCTGCTGCTGTCAACACAGAGAGGCAGGATGTGGGCAGCATGGCTGGGAAACTGGGGAAGTACCGAGAAATGGGGCCCCTATGAACCTAAGGCTAAGGGAAGTGGCACAAGCATGGAGAAGAGGGATAGATCCCTCCTCCATTCTGCTTCCAGCCACATGCTGCCACCCACTTACTCCTTGCTAGCCAGGGAAAGGCAAGAAACACATCCTTGCTCTCACCTCGCTGAGTGTTGGCTCTCTGTCCCCAGTTCGCCTGAGGTTTTTAGATGGTGCAGCAACATGCTTATCTTTGGCTGCTGAGATCTGCTTTTGCAGATCTACAGGAAAGGCTAGAGATTTATGGAGTCTGTAATCAGCTCCCACAGCAATGCCAACACAGCACTGGGGAGGATAAATGACAGCAGGGAGGCAGTGAATGTGGCATTAACTGGCTGCCACGTCAGTGTAAGCAGGGCACATCCAGAACCAAATTCTGCTCTCAGTCATATGGGTGTCAATCTGCAACTTATTTACCTGTGAGCAGAACAAAGGAATGAAGATTTTAGCCTCAGAGTGGCATCTTCTCATAAGACTCTTTGAGTGAGATCCCACAAACCCCACATTTCCTCACCAATTCCAGACTTTTTGTTTCTGTGCATCAATGTGCAATGAAGCCTGACAGTGCCAAATGTGCAGCCTTAGGAACTGCAGTGAAGTGTTTTTACTGTCATCTCTCACAGGCTGACCTCACCTAGCACGGGAGTTTAACCCCTCCACAAGGACTTACAGGACACAGGTCCTCCTGTCACTGCAATGGGACAAGGCAGCACACTTCAGCATTGTAGTGAGATCTCTCTGGGTCTCCAAAGCAGTATTGCTGTCTTAGTAAAACTCTTTGCCCACCCAATGTAATAATCCCTCCAGGGCTAATTAGCTCAGGCACAGTGCCATGCTGACACAGTGCTAATGGTTCCAGCTCGGGAGCTCGCCTGGTGCGTGTTAGCTGGCAAAGTCATATGCTGTTTGTTTTGCACTTGTATATAGACACATGACTGACTGTCTCTGGACACTCCTCATACCTGCCATAGCGAGGGGAGGCTGATAGCTCACTGCTGTTCACGTACTCCTTCACAAAGAGGACCCCTTTTCTAGGAATAGATGGAAGCAGAATGAGATGCATTTGCATTATAAAAGGCTGAAACTAATGAGAGACAGAGCAAGGGACCACATGTGTGCACATGGACACGTACTGTGTGCATGAAAAAGGAGTGAGATGCTGTTGTTCTCCAACAAATACTGAATATCAAGCATTCTTGCTAAATAACAGCTAATATGCCCTCTAATTAACCCACCAAAACAAATCAATTTAATTAGAAAGAAAGGGATGGGTAATATAACACTTTCATCCAGTTATCCCCTGTTTTGCAGGGATAAGTCCCTTTCAAATCGTGTCAGGATTATGTACACAATAAGCATTTAGACAGTCTGTGGTTCTGTCCTTTAACATTAAAACCCTACTGGCACAGCAATACCTACACTGACCGTCATATTCCTGTCACAAGAATATCTCTGGCTCACTCATGCATTATAAATTGCTACCGGTCTGTGGGATGTTTTTTCTTACAGAGCTGACCTTTCTTGCATATCCCTCCCTCTTTAAAATTCTGATTTCAAAATGACATGCCCCCATCTGTCTGTCTGTCTAGAGCTCTGTCACAGTTTGAGGGGAGACACCGTGCCCATCGGCTCTCTTCCCAGAGCCATGAAATGAACTAATCATGCTATTTCTCCATGGTTCATTTTCATCGCTGCCTTTAAGCTATGATTAATCCTCTCTTCTTATATGAGAAAACTAAACCGTGTCATAGATACAGAAAGAAAAGCTTTACAGCTTTTCTTGTTTTTGCACTCGGACATTTTCCGTGTGTATACGCGTTTCCGCTACTTAGACAGGCGTTGTGATAAGCAGGCTGTGGCAAGGCCAGGAGGACCCAAATGTTGCCTATCAAAGCCTATGCTTTGCCACTATTTTGAAACCCTCTCCCTAAATGGAGTTGAACTGTGCAGTAGTTTCCATCTATGAGATGGAGCACATGGAAACTACAAACCCCAGGATACTGATCTATCTTCGGTAAAAGAAGACAGATCCTGTTCAAAGCTCAGTAGGATCTGACACACTTGGCTCATTATTGACAAGGCAAAGAGTCTTCCTCTACTTCTTAATAAGTACATGGCATGAGGAGCTCTATCACGTCCCTCCAGCTACACTGTGTTTCAGAGGACTCATGATTTTGCCAAAGGTACAACTAATACTAGGAGCTACATTCTAGTGTCCAAAAAAGGCTGCCTGGAGAAATACACGCAGCTCCTCTTTTTCTTTTGGGTGGGTCTGGCCACCAGTGTCTGTATTCCTCACTAGAAGAGGCTGAGAAATGTCCCATGGCCCAAAGGGCAAACAGCAGCTTGGCTTATGTTCACCAAACAGGATGGCTGCATGTAAGAACTGTGTTACTGAAGGATCTTGACCACCCATTGCTCTTTACCCGGCAGTGCTGGAATCAGGCTGGTAGCCAGAGGCTGCTGGGCTGTTGTATGGTAAGGTGGCAATTGGAGTGCAGATCCTCTCAGTTGAACTCGAAAGAAGCCTGGCAAGAGAGAGAAAAGTCTGTGGGCACTGGAAACACAAGCCATAACATGATCCAAGCCGGCAGCCAAGAAAAGACCTACCGCTGCTGTTAGGGAGGTAATTTGGGAAGGTGCAATGTTAAATCTCTTAACCACCCAGATTCATTTATCTTTACTGCAGATCAAAGAGGATCCTTCCTCTTTGTATACTTTGCCACATATCAGCAATAAATGGCAGCAATATATTGGCAGAAGTGATTTGGAAAAGTCACACTTATGGGGCCATGGGAGAAAAGATCAAAAGATCTTTGGATGAGCACGGACCAGAACGCAGCCTGAATGGAAGCAATTAGAGAATGAGATTGCATACAGCATATTGCAGGAGAGCAGGAGCAGGGGCATATTAGAGAAGGTAGCCTGAATGGAAGCAACTGTAGAATGAAACTGCATTTGGCATATTGCAGGAGAGGAGAAGGGAGCACATTGGCCAAGGTCCAATTTAACAAGTTCCCAGTTTAATCACTTCCAAAGCTATAGCAGAGAAAAGGTGGCAAATCAATGGCTACTAAAGCATCATCAGAAAACAGCTCTGCCTACCCACTCAGCAATGAGAGCTGTTAATTCTGCCTTCAAGGGATAAAGTGGTCTTGCCTAGAGCAGACCTGAGCTAAAGGATCTCATGCCTCCTGCTTACACCCAGAACACACTTTCCCTTCATAGATCCAACGCTGAGACCTACACTGGTGCCTCCACGTAGTGTCAGGCTGCACACAGATGGACTGTCACTGCCATGAAGGACTACTGACAGCTCAGAGTACCAGTATTCCACTGGTATTCCAGTATTCCAACAGCCTTGTTCTGTGACCAATTCAGTCATGTAATCACTGGCTTTCTGGAGGTAGTTTTCTTCTTTCTCAACATTTCTCTTTTTTTTTTTTTTTTTGGTCACCTCTACCAAGGCTGATTTCTGGCCAAAGGAGTGTAGCCAGGAACCAGCCATTCAATCTCCTTTCATTCTGTCCTAGAACCTTCATAGAGACCAGATAAGTATATAACATAGACCCTGTGCTAGGCATCTTTTGGCTAGAAATTACTTAAGGGAAGATTCTGTGACACAGTTACTCCCTGGAAACAATTCTTCTCTCTCTCAGCTTTGGCTTTAGTTCCTAGCTCCTGTTCCACAGCAGTTTCATGGAGTTCCATCATAACCATCAAAACTACCCATTTACCTGGTGCTGTTACAGTTTAAGCTGTCCATGTAGAATGGCACCCTGTGGCTTCTCGGGGAAATGGACATGGTGGTATCTCTGGGAAGGGAGTGGTGGCTACGAAAGGAAGTGATACAATCTCAAGCAATGAACTTGAGCACAGGAGCGACTCTTACAAGTGGCAAGAATCTTGGCTGAATGTCTCTGCTCAGCAATGAAATTACTCATACATCACAGCCATCCACGCAAACAGCAACTCACTGAGAGTGCTTAGACCCAGGGAATTAAGAAGAAATGGGTCAGGATGTTCCACATAGTGAATAAATCTAGCAGTGGAATGTTCTTTAGTCTATATCCCACCCTTTGACTCCTTACCTTATAGTAGTTATAAGGTTAAATTCACAGTGCCCCCTGGCACTACCACTGTCATATCTGCTGCTCCTAGGGCTGCTTCTCCCATCATAAACTCTCCCTTCATAATCCAAGATAGGTCTGGCAAGGAAGCACAAGGCTCTGATTACATTATACCAGGAACCACTGGAATCCCCACACTAACTAACTAATATTTTGTCTCAGCAGTTTCTCCCTTTGCTCTGCCTGCTTCACCCATGCTGGCTTTACAGCTGCAGCATGCATACAAAGCTCTGAGGCTAGAAAAACTGACTCCAAATCTAATGATAGAGAATAAAGCTGAAGCAGTTCATAAATGGATGTATTGTGAATATTCTTTCTTCTCCTAATGCTCTCCAAAACCACCATCTGCAATTGTGAACTGCTGACCAGCTGGCCCATCTGGCTATCAGACTTGCACATTTTCATTTCTCCAAGACAGAACTTATTATCAGAATGGCTTTAAACTGCAGGCAAAGCTTGGGCTCTTTCAGTGGCAAAAATGAGCTTATCACTTATGGTCATTCTTTTCCTACAAGTTCTCTGGGGTATAGATTATGTTTATACTGTGTATTAGCACTCTGATCCTGATTAAAGCTTCAGGCAACTGTATAGCTTAAACAATACTGAAAAACACTGAAAAATCAGTGCTGCATTAAAGAGAGAAAGAGAGCCAAGCTAAGCTTATCATGAGAAAAATCCTGCTCTGGGCAAGACACACAGTCTGTGATATAAAACTCCAGGGCAGGAAGGAAGGGACAGTTCACTACACTGCAGAAAGACATGTTAGCATCACAAACTGCCAGGGGGTGATGACAGGCTATGAAGTGCAACAAAGGTCTGTCTGTCCCAGTTGTTCTAGTCCTGGTCCACAAATGCCTCCAAATGCAAAGGACCTTTCTTACACCAACTCTCTGAAGAATGATGGAAGGTGAAAGGCCATTTCACATTCAGATCACACCAATTTATATGACAGTTCTAAAGCATACAGCTTGGCATGCACTTGTGTCATTGAGCATCATGAGAAATCAAAACCAGATCATTCTGGAGTCTTTACAGTTACAGAGGAAAAACAGATGTGGTCTCTAAACATCTGCCAGGTGTCCAGGCACTATGTAGGCAGTCTGAACACAACCTGCCAAGAGTGTTCCAGAGCACTTACTAGCCCAGGTCTTATCTCCAGCCCATCAGGTCTGAAAAAGAGCTTTGTTGCATATGCTGTGGGATGTGGCCATACTGTTGGTCTCTCTGAGAACAATATCTTGTTCTCACTTCTTGATGCAATAATCATACATTCTGAATCAGAGTTCCTGTCAAATATTTCTGTGCCAGCAGCTTTCACTGTCTCCACATCCCTGCCTGAAATCCTTACCTTCTGGTGCTGAATCCTTGGCTGTCTACGTAGGATGGTATCCTATGGCTGGGTGCTGACAGGTTGGTGTTGAAAGGCTGGCAGTCCATGTACAGTGGCATGGGATGCTGAGTCTCATATGCACCAAGAGCACTCTCTTTTGAGCTGAAGTTAGACCTGCTAAAGAATTAAGGCCAATTTGACCATAAAGCCAGTGGTTATTTGCTATAACCAGCTCACAAGTACTCAAACGCCTCTCTGCTGGCAATAAGGAAAGGCTCTTAAGGTTAGGAGAATGACAAAGCACTGCACTATTTCCCCTCCCCAAATGAGCTATGCATACAATGAATGGCTGCAAGGTTCAGCAGTGCTCTAAGCTAAATTGATACCCAAAATTAAAACTTAACAAACATATTTGGGTGAAATCCCAGACTTAATATTCCCTTCGTCTGTATCATTGGATTAGTGTACACAGGAGGAGGAATTTACATGGGTTTGGGACTTCAGCCAGGGCTGTATCACTTGTGATGGAAATGGAAGACGATGAGAATTTGAAAGTGGTTGATGGGCTCCCAAGGAGATTGTCCCACTGTACCTGGCTGCCACTGGGCTAGGCTCATTGTGTCTCCAGGCTCCTGGGCTCTCATGATGACTATCCGTGGTGGGAGGGGGTTGTTCTTCATAACCAGGACTGGTCCTGCTCAGGGGGGAAAAAAGCCTGTCAGCAGTTTAAACGCTTGAGCCTGTACCTGTCCACTGTGAATAAACAATATTAGATTACGTTGGTTTCCAAATTCTGCTCCCTCCATTTTCACTAGCCAAAAATAAGCATTTGTTATGCCTTCAAACAAGGAGTTAGAAGAACATAACATGTGCAAGGCAGCAGTGAAGACAGGCTTGATTTCCTAACTGCATACCTTTCCCAGCATGTGTTGGATTCGCTTCCACTTGGGGTCTCTGAAGCAGTGGTGCTGCTTTCTCTAGGAAGGGAGCTGGACCTGCCAAGACAGAAGACCACTATAGTTTGCAAAAGTGCCACTGAGCACTTTTGCTCAGTAGATGCAACCTCTGGTGAATCTCCTCCCTCTAGAAAAGTATACGGTTACTGCATGGAAAGATGTCAAATAATTCAAAGTTAGAATGGAAAGAAAAGGAGGGAAAATACACATTTCATCAGAAATAAGGCTGAAAGAAAAATGTAGTTTGTGATGAGCGTCAGTTATCTGTTTAGAGTTTCCAAATGTGACAGTTAATTCATACAGCCATGAGCATTATGGCTTATCCAGTACACCTGTGCTGAATTTCAGACTGCTAGAAGCATGAGCTGTCTCACTGGGATACAATCAGAAGCATATACAATATCTTTCCTGCATCCATTGCAGAACAACCCTGGATTTGCACATTTACATTGATCTAGGGAGATGTTTGTTCACTTTCTTTTACTACTTTTGTATATTTAGGCATGCTAATCCCTCTAGGAATATTGATACACTGCAGAAAGTTCTCAAACTAGCACAGATTCCTGCATCAAAACCGCAGTTAATTAGACTAAAATTAATTCTTAACTTGCTTTCAAAGATCCTATCTTGAAACATTACAGCTAATGAAAGAGGAGACAGCCTTTGTCCTGTGCTTGCTATTAGTTGAGGGCTTCCCTTCACCAGTATTAATTCCATCCCTGCAATTTCACCAAATGAATAAGCCAAAAAGGAAAAGAACAAATCTTTCAATTACCCAAGTGAAAGCAAACTCAATTTAATTTGATCATTTTATAACGAAGGTAGATATCTTAAATCCTTACTTCCAGCAAAAGATGCTCACTGAATTTTAGATTCCCACTCAGGTTGGGACATTCTGTTTAAGTACCTTAAGATTTTGTCCAGAACCTCAGAATAAAAATCTATTTACTGAGACTGTCAGCATGCACAGTCCCAGCTTGTGGCAAATGCAAAGCAGTTTGCTTTCACTTAACCCATAAGTGAGAGAGTTCATCTAAGTCACACTATTTTGCTTTTGCTGTAGGCTAAGGAAGTACAGAGAAAGGTATGATGGGTCAAGGTGACAGTGCAGTAATATGGACAGTCCTTTGACAAAATGTCCTGTACTTGCTTGAAACTAAACGTTTAATGAAAACAGCAGTGGTCAACAGAAAGAAGGAGGTAACTCCCAAGTCTTTCAGTGGCAGTCATAACAGCTCTCTTGGTGAGTCCAATCCAAACTCAATGCACCTGGAAGCACAAGGACTTGGTAAGCTTTAGGACTTATCTGTAGAAAGTCTACAGGCTGGGGAAGGCGTGGAGCAACGAAAGGATTACCTGAGCTTTTTCCACCCAGGCCAATTTGTTGAGGAGCACTTGAGAGAAAGTTCTCTTTTTCTCCGCAGCAGTCTAACTTGTGCTCACATCAGTGAGGACTGGGACCCTTCTGCCTCCCTGCCTGATGAAGAACTACAACTTGGAGTATCTGTGAAACACCCACAATAGCTCCATTTGCTGGAAGGATCCAGCAGGACAGAAAGACACCAGCATCATTGCTCTCTCCTTGCTTTTTTTTCCTCCACCGGCCCTTCCTGAGCTTCCTCCTCACACTGTTGTCCCACCACTCACTGTGCACCTCCATGCACTCATGAAGAAAGTTCAGATTGGTGACTCTTGACCTCAAATGCAGCATTCTCAATCCCTCCTCCAAAACTACCTGCAGTAAATAAATTCTCCACATTCTTCATCAGAAAAATAAATAAAATTTATCATTTCTCTTGCCTTCTTGAAGCAAATTCTTCAGTCTGCACATAAGATGATACTCCTGTATTATTGTCTACGCCACCACTTGTGCTGTCCTTGGAGTATGACATGGACCTGGGGGAGAAGAGCAGTCTGGTTTACAGGTTGATTTGGAGATAAATTGTTCACTGAAAAACACACACGAGGGAGCAAAATTCTACCAAGAGCCTTAACATTTCATATTTACAAAATACAGATGAAAGTAATCAGTCCACAAAGTCTTTCATTTTGGCCATTTATCTATGTACTGTTTTGCATGAGGAAAGTTGAAAACACTGTGGCTGCCCCTATCAGCCCTGCAGAGCCACAGGTAAATAGGAAGAAAAATGGTGCCAAGGTGACCAGAGTACAGCCTGAGATCTGATACTGCCTTGATAAGTTTGGAAATGAGCCCCAGCACTACCACAGAGATAGTTCATCGGCCTGTGTCTCCAGAAGAAGTCTCTGCTTCTAAATTAAAGGTCTAGGTAGCAGGTCCTGGCAGTCCAGCTGGACAGTGTGTGATGCCTCTTGCTAATCAGGATGTTTTCTCCCAGGTTTTCATATAAAACCACAGCAGAGATGCATCAGGAACACTAAGGGAGTCTGAAATAAGATTTTTATCAAGATGTGGAAGAGGGAGAAGACACAAAAGGAGCTAAGTGTAACTCTACAGGAAAAGGAGGGATGGATGGTGAGTAATTCCTTACATTGCCATACTCAGGTCATGGTCAGCATGTTCGTTTGACCTGGCAGGCTCTGGGTGGACATCAGGAGGTTCTTGTCCCTTCTCAGCATGGTGGTTGGAGTCAGAAAACCTAAAATAAAAAGCTGTGCTTTAAACAGAAGAGAGGAAACAGGCTTGAGGTGGATAGACATCCATTTTCTAGACAGGAGGCATAAGGCATGGAGCAGGAGACATTTGGCCAACACGATTCCCTGCCCTGAGGTCAAATCTGGTGGAAATCATGCATACAAATCCCATTCTAACATACAGGAGCACAGCTAGAGGCCTTTCAGCTCAGGCTGTCACAGAAGAAAAACATTAGGTACAGGAGAAAGCACTTGGGTCAGAATTTTTGACAGACTGATGAATTCTTCTAACACCCTGACACCCTCATGCATGATTTTGCAGCATAGGACTTGCTGATACTTATGGGCAGCAAAAGCTACTGCCTGCCACTGTAGTACCAAAGTTGTCATGTCCATGGACTGATGACACATGCTGTCAGTGCAGGAATAACTCTTGGGCCTTACACACAACGTTCATTGGCTTTTCCCAACAACATAGGTGGAACTGCCTGCTGTAATGGGACTTTATGAAGTCCCAACTCCGGGGTTCAAGGCACAGGAGAAGTTCTGTGGTCTCAGCTACACTGAGAACAGTGTAAGACAAAGAACTGTGATGTGAACAGACACTTTAGGTTAGTTTCAAAAATCACTTACCCTCCTTGGACCACCTCTAGTTTATGGTCTTGTGAGACCAGTGTGCTCTCATGTTCCCTGTTTCTAGGGGTGTTCCCCTCTGTGAAATCTTGGAAGGACCTGACAAAGGAAAAGAAAACCCCATTTGTGGCTGTCAGACAGAGACATCTACTTTAAAAAGATCACAAGGCTCTGGTGGAGGCTAAGCTGTCACAAGTACAATGAAGCACTGCCTTCAGCAAGCTTAACTACTTGGAATTCAACAGATGGGTCAAGCAGCAACATTTTCCTAGCCTGAAATTAGCTCTTTAAAATATCAGTCCAATTTGTGCTACATCTAGACAAACATGCTGATCCTCAGCATGAAAGTAGACCTATGGGGTATCAGATTATCTATGGTGATTGTATCACGTCAAGGCTGTGAATGTCAGGGCAAGCATTACATCTGATGTGCTAACAATAGCTGAGGCTGAATTTGAGATGTTTCTTTCTGTCCAATATTCTGAAAGTTTCCTTGTAGCCAGATCCACTCATTTAGAGTACCTAATGATATCACTCAACACATCTTCATCTCCCCTTGCCTTTCTAGCTCAAACTTCCTTTTCTCAAGATCCATTGAGAGCTTGCATTGGAATCTTTGGAGTATAGCTGTTGCTGTCCCTCAGAAAGGAGTTGAACCCACTGGAGAAACCTGACCTCAGTCATGCCACCAAGAGAGTATTGGACAGAGGAGAAATGTGGTGTGCTCCTAGTTCTGCTGCTAATTTAGAATGCAATTGAGCCATCCATATAGCTGGCATCTGAAACAAGCATTCAACAGAAGTATCTGAGAGGGGTGAAATAAAAGTATTAAGCATTTCCAGAAGAACTTCTTTCTACCCAGTGGCAACAGAGGTAGTCTGAAGAACTGCTGCCAAGATAAACCTCTTTTTCCCCTCGGCAGACTCCTGAAAAGGAGTCAAGTGGCTTCTTCCTCACTGCCAGTACTTTGGCAGAACACTTTTCAACTCATTGATTTTCCATTTCCTTGTTTAGTGGGATAAGAACCCCTCTAGAGGAGAGCTGTGGCTGATGCACTAGGGTTTTATGACATACAATGCTGTCACAGTGACAATGATAATGGTTCTTCATTTTTTTCCTATGAGTTTTGAGACCTTCACTATCTTTGCACCAAACCCAGAAGGACTCAAAACCTGAACAAGTCCATGAAAATGGACTCCCAGGAGTCCACTGTAGCCTGCTCTAAGGTGGTCATCCAACCACCTTAGCTCACATCAGGCTTTGCACCCTGGGCTTCCCAGAGCAGAAAGCAAGGGAGAAGTGTGTGATGCATACTCACATCTTACACTAGGTGTGGGTCAGAACATGGCAGACATCCTGCTGGGAAGAACTTGGGAAGTGTTGAATGCATTTGCAGTGTGATTTGAGTCTACGTATGACATTTATTACTACAATGGATATTAGATATAGGAACAATTTGTCATTTCTTGGACAAACAGCCCATGTTATGCTGTTGTTTTTGTGCTTCTTATTTCTTTTGGAATCAACACCTCTAAGGTTTCCAACAGTGAAAAAAACCATTAGCAAACAGGGGCTTAGCACCCCAGGTCCTTACGTCGCTTCGTTCCAGTCAGGCTTGCTGTATGCTGGCACTGTGGGGTTCATGAATCTGCTCTCTTGGGTGCTGCTTTTCTCCTCATAGTTCAGGACAGATCTGGCAAGTAAAGAAAAGCCCATTATTTCTTTAACAACTGGCATATAAATAATCACACTAGTGAGTACAATCTACTCACAAGGCAATGCTCCTGCCAACCTGTATCATCCACTGTCCTGCACCAGGGTCTGTCTCTAGGGATCATAATTAGCTGCATTTCAGCATACTCCTCCTATTTCACCTGCCTCTCAGCTCCCTTGCTGCCACTTCAGCATCACTTAGCAGTGCACCATTCTCAGCAAATGATAAGGCTGTGACTAAACTCCTCCAAGGATGCATCAAGAGGAGCAAAAAGCTGGAGTACTTGATTCATATCTCAGAAGATGGAAAACCTTTATTTCTATTATTATTATTATTATTATATTCTTATAATAATATTGAGGCAAGAGCTGCAAAAACAAGCCTCTTTCTATGCTTCTCTTCTCTTAATCCTCACTAATATTCAAACACTCACTAAATTTATCCCATTCTAACCTTTTAAAGGAATACTCTGTGTCCTCGAGGTGTGTAGGGGCGCCCTCAGTGGGAGGAGAAGGGACATTAGACTGCAAAACAGACCTGTCAAATAAAAAAAAAATAAATAAATCAACAGCTTGATGGCTTGCCAAAGTTAAAGTGCTTCAAGAGGCACACTATGAAATAACACCACACTTCATACAACAGCAGAAAACAGAAAGTAATTTTTCTCCAAAAACTGCTTTTCCTTCAGGTTGAAATGCTTTCACTGTCTCTAATAAAGAAGATCAGAAGCTGTAAGTAGAACTAACACAGTCACTCAGCCTCAATTCACACACACCCTGGCTGGATACATCAATTTTCTGGTCTGTCACAGGATCATGCACCTGGGACAAAGCACAACACACATGTCATTGGGGAAGATCCTTCTATGCTACTAGCAGCAGCTCTAGGTTTTGCATTTTACACCATCCTACAGGAAGCCTTGTGATCCTCTTCTCATGTGGCATGGAGGCTCATAATGAGGTTTCCCCATATCCTTCTCCAAACTAAACATTCCAAGCTCTCTCAACCTTTTATCAAAGGATAGGTGCTCCAACCTTTGTAAGAATAAGAGAGGAAAGCAGATTTTAGTGTATCCAGTGTGAACAGCAGCAAGTGTTTTTGAGATCAATGTTAAAAGCAATGATAATGCTGCCATATCTGCTCCTTAGCTGATTTGGTAGGAAAACATTGATGAAGAAAAGTGGCTCTCTTAGCTTTGTTGCACAATGTGGACTTGCAACTCTACTGTGAACACATTATTTATTCTTCCCCTGAAACATACCTGCTGCTAGCAGCAGCACTGTGAGTTCCAGCATCAGGCTCTGACCTTGCAGGTTCAGGCTTTGCATCATCTGTGTAGGGAGAAGCCTCATACTGTTGGTGCAGCTTGTCTACAGCATCTGCAGATCTGTCCCTATAACCAGAGTCAGACCTGGTAAGAAAGGGAGATTCATGGGTCACAGACTGAAGCTTAGCTGGAGAATGGAGTGAAAACAGTGAAAACAAACATGAGATTTGCTAGTCTCAAACAATTTCCTTCCTACTTCCTTCTTAGCTCCCTAACTTTCTTGCAGCAGATCCAAAGGGCAGAGACCATCCAGTCATCTCAGGGTAGTGCAAGGAAAGAAGCTGAAAGATCACAGAGAAGCTGGTGGATCAGGTCCATTTCCTTTTTAAAGTGCATACAAGTGCCTAGAACACATTTTTCAGGGTAGTATTACAACAGGAAAAGATCATTTCTACTTAAAATCAAGAAAAATATGTGCATTTTACACTGCTAGTATTCTTTAGACTTACTTTGGTTGGTAAAAATCATTGTTGGCTTCTGTGTGTTCAGAACAACTGAAAAGGAGAGAAAACAGCTTTAGAAAGCATCCTTGTTTTGATTTGGGTAACAATCTGCAATTACTTTCTTATTCTTTTTCTTAAAAAAGGAGAGAATAAAATCCCTAAGACAGAGATAGTTCTAAGTGTATTTTTACAGGAAAAATGGCCAGAAACTTTGGGGAAATTCACTGTGCAAGCAGCAGTTAGTAACTCTGAAAATTGTCAACATGACAGATGTTAGTGGTACAGAATCAACTAGAAATTCAAGCCAGGACTCTTCCAAAATCAGTGGGATGTCCTGCAGGCCACAGCTGCAACACAGGCACTTCCATTTTCACACACAGAAGGGAAGGAACAGCCCTTATGTCCTCTGTCCTGCCTCAAGGGAGCCGACAAAATAGAGAACTACAGGTGTCTGATCCTAAATCGTGTGTTTCTGTTTTCTTGTTTCGTGGCTGTGGGCAGTGATAAAGCAGATGGCTGAAGCAGATTACTGAACTTCTCTTCTGAATGGTGATAGCAGCTTTCCCCCTTCAATTCCACTTTCTCAGGCTGGACAGTAACACAGCTCTTTGCATTTCCAACCTTTTTAATTTGAGAATCTAATTCATACTTTCCCCTTCCAGTAGAGGTCAGGCTCTCTAGAAAAGCTGTAAAACAAACTGTCTTATACTGCCATAGGACAGGAAGGAACTGGGTTGTTTCAGTCACCTTCAGTGGATGTCTGAGAAGTACCTTCATACTTGCACTGATTTCTGGATCAGATTAAACCAGTGTTTCCCAGAGCAGGAGAAGGCCTTCCATGTGAGGATACAGTGTGTACAGCAGCACTGTGGAGCCCCGGCAAAGGAGCTCCACCGGGCATCAGCCAGTTTGGATGCATGCCCAGAAATAGTGGTGCCAACAGGAAGGGTCAGGATTCAGCCAAAGATGGTTCCCAGTAAGGTGGGAGCAGGTGATTCTCATGCACACAAAAGGCAAGCAGAGCAGTGACAATGGACTGCACTTGGAGACAACAGCTGCACCTGTAGTTATGGGATCTCTATGGTGCTCTCATAACACTTTAGAGCCAGGTCACAACTTCTCCTAGTTACTGAACCTTTTTCCAGACACTTTAGAGGGAGCTTCTAGAGGAAATGGGAGCTTCTATCTTTTATCGTTTCTAAGGAGAATTTTGTTGTAAAAACTAGTAGATAGGTGGAGGCCTAGAGTTGTCTTAAGTGTGAAGCTCTCTATATCGTAAAAAAATAAAAAACTGAATTAGTTTACATTTGGGAATAAATCCAGAAAATGCAGAAATGACCCAGAAAAGTGGTATTTTCCTTGTATGATAGAAGCTAAACTAAAAACTGGAACAATATCAAACAATTGTCTGCAAAAAAATAATGTTCTCATTTTTAACTCCCTTCTCAAATAAAATTTTAGAGAAACTGCTGCAGTTCTGCAAAGCACAGATTGAAGTGTGCTTTTCCATCAGTAAATATCCATTCAGAGTTTCCAGACAGCTGAAGTGGAGCAGATTATTATCTACACAATGCTGAAGCCAATAAAGGAATGTCACACTAATTTTACCTTCCATTTGTGGAAACTGCAGTTGCTCTAGGCTTATCCCACGAGAATGGCTCAGACTTTTCCTTAAGAAATTTGTCACTAGAAAAAGAAAAATGCCAGTAAGAGATGACCAGAGACTTACATTGTATGACTATAGGACAGTCTGCTATCATTTTGTTTGGACAAGTACAAAATGGGGCTAGCCCAATACACCAGGACAGGGAGAACCAACTTTTTATGTGCTGTGGACCAGACTGCAGCTCAAAGGTTACTTAGAGAGCTGCTCTCTGGAGTAAGGAACTGATAAATCCTTTGCTCAGACAAAAGTGCCCTATAACAGATGCTCTCTGTTCCTGGGCCAGAGAGGTCTTCCTGCAAGGTCCACCAGCTGCACTTCTTTGTTGTGCCCAACTACACCCATCATTCACTCCCCAGACCTGTCAAGCTGTACATGTTTTCCTCCCTGCCAATTGTTTTCTCTCCAGTTTTAGGTGGCTTAAGTAATGAGGAATCCTCTAATTTCTCTTGGAGACTGATGCACAATTAGGAGCAGCTATGTGACCCAAATGACCCTAAGCACAATGACTGCATTGTAATCAGGCTGTCCGTGCAATGACATACAAGGATTTATTTATGGGCCTCAGCTGAACTATCAAGACAATTTCTACCAGATTTTACCTTTTTCAAGCACATTAGACTTTTTTTTTTTTCACCAAGATGAAGTTGGGAAGATTTCTAGCTTTATCTTCACTGATAGGGATGGAAAGCAAACTACAATTAACTGTGCATGCTGCACCAACTCACTTGGTAGATCCAAGATTCTACAGAACAAAAAGAACAATCTTCACACAGCCATAAATTCAGTTTGGCAACACTGGGAACAAAAAGAGGCCTGCTAATATGGGATATATCTCAGAAACACCTCTCTTGCTCTTCCCCGGAAAGGAACTATCTCATTCTGAAAGGAAATGGAGCCAATAAATGACACCATGTAGGATGCTGTCTTCTGCTCAAAGTACACCTCAGCATAGGCCAGCCAGCAGCAGCCAGTCTGTGCTGTGCTGCTGCATGAGATGCTTTCCACCCATAGCTAGGCTGCGTTCATCTGTCACTGCTTTCTCTTCAGAGGTCCCCTCAGACTTCTCATCCATTTTGCCATTATGATAATCAGACTAAATGCCCTCATACGTGGATTTAGGTGCAGCTACATTATATCAGAGCTCTGTCCCTTGACATATTCACCACTTGTATCCTTCCAGTTTTCTTAGACCCTCCTTCATATTACAGAGCTTTTTGCACTTTCCCACTGCTCAGTCACCCCTGCAGACTTTCTACAAGGTGCAGAGGACCAGAACCAGTGTTAGAAGTCACCAGTGCCATAGATTAAAAGCATCCCTTGCAGGTGGAAGGAACTCCCCAGGGGTGGACAAATGAAACAGTGACAAATGTGTGAAGCAGATTCTTTAGGGACTGAGCCATAGAGGAGAATCCTTGGGGGAGGTTGAGCAGGAACAGAAAAAAATTGACATGTTTCAGCCTAGCCAACAGATGATGTTCTTGGAGAGCAGCCCAGGACCATGACTGGAGAGATCCCATCTGTTTAAGACCACTAGCAAGCATATAGCATTTCTAAGCAAAAAACAGGGTTATGCCTTATGTTTAGCAATGTAGATCAGCCTTTCTGAACTTCTTACCCATCCCCATGCTGTGGCACAGTTTCCAGTGAGGAGTTCCCATTAGGAGTTTGTCTGCTATCACCGTTTCTGCAAGCAAAACAGCAAAAACACTTAGGTGTGGGAACAGAATGTGAGGCACAGGAACTCTATGGCACAATGCTTGTTGGAGGGTGATAAGGACAACGTGGGGACTGGATTGAAATAAAAGCATGATCAGTTTAGGATATAGAAAGGTCTGTAAATTTTGGACTCATTTTTATCAGAAAGAACCAGGTGATGTTGGAGCTGTGGGAGGCCCACAACCCTTCATTTCAAGCTTTTCTCCCAGATTGTTAATGCTTTCATAACACACTGCTTTCTTAGAGTTCCCATGCCACAGGATTTATTGTTTCATGAATGTACTGTGTCCAAATCACATGCATCTAGGGAAATACCACCAAGCAGGATCAATCTCTCCAGGGCAGCAAGCCTCTTGCTATCGTTAGTGGAGCTTTAGGAGGATTCTGAGCCAGCAGACCTACCTGATTTCAGCATACGTGGAGATTTTCTCTGAAGTTTCCCTCAAGGTTGTGGTTGTTTGGCTCTTACTGCCTATTTCAGTGCTGCAAGAGAAAACAAGGAAAGCAGCTGCCTTTCCTGAACAAACCAGCTCCCCCTTGCAGCTGGCCAAAATTATCTTGTGCAGAAGTGTTCCTTTCAGCAAATAAACAGAATTTAAAACAAACATCACTTTAGAAGGAGTCTTGTCAGAAGCAACTTTGAAATTAAAAATACCAGCTACTGCCATGAATATCTACAGTCTGCCAGTGATACACAGGGGAAAAAAAATACCAACAAGGTCAATGACCAACGCAGTTTGCAGTACTGTGGAAAAACATTTCAATTTTTTTTTTAGTACTATGCTCTGAATTCAATCAAACAAAGTTGAAGGCAACTGAAAATTGTTCCACCACACATTTAGCAAGAAAGACTTTAGTAGTTCTTTTTGTCAGGTTTTGAGCACTTATATCAAAATGTCAGATTCTTTCAAGACACAGCATGGACAGAAAACCTTTGTAGATTCACACAGCTGTTTTAAAACTCTTCCATGTACAAGGCTGATAAATTGGCTTCATTTCACCTCCTAAAGGTGTGACAACAGAAGTCTCTGATTCCAAGCTGCATATGTGCTGATACAGCACCAAAAAATGCCCAAGGCATCTTGGCTGTGCTGTAACACTCACCTGGTGGGCGACACTGCTGTTGTCTTTGGTGCATTCCAGGAAGGCCCAACCGTGGGCTTTTTTAGCCCATTGGTACTGACAGAAGAAAAACAAACAAACCCCACAAGTAACAAAGCATTAAAAACAGAATATCTTCTAGTTGCTATTGTTTCAGTTGCTAAAACAAAGCACTACAGGCTGAAAGGCCTCATGTATTGGACTCCCTGCTGGGCACACTAAGGACCAGAGTGGCAGAGAAGCTAATAATGCCTCTGTTTGGCTTCAAGCCTCCCTTTATAGCAAGAACAGAGAGCTTAATCCCAAATTAAATGAATCTGCTTGAAAACAGAAGAATATTTTCCTTCTTAGGACAAACATCTCCACCTCCATATGGGTCTCAGCCCCACACATCAGTGGCTTCTGACCAGTGTGGACCAGGAAAGAATATCACTGCTGCTTCTTTACATCAAAGACAGCTTATTCCCAGGTTTCTCATAGCACTGCAGGAATGCCTCAGTCTGTCTGCCACAGCTCCACAGTAGCCTGTGGTAGGGGCTGGAAGCTTGAAATGAGGCTAACTTTTACTATGAAAGCAAAGATCAATTTAAAGATAATGAAATTCTCAAACCTCCCAAGTCACACCTATCTGTTGCTATCAAGGTAGAATAATTAAATCTGAAGTCCAACAAAAGCAGAGAGCTGGCTCAGGGGACTGGAAATAATGAGATATTGAGTACTTCATGTCTAGGTGATAGGGTCAGTTCACACAGCCAAGTCTGCTAGTACAAGAAAATCATTACTATCTGATGGCTTGTTGATGGGTAGGTGAGCTTATCTAAACCTGTCCTGACTCTTCTGTGTGTTGTCCCTCCAGAACTGCTGTCAGGCTTGTTCCTGTGGCATATGAGCACCTCATGAAGACAAGGCCAACTGCTGTGGTGTGTGGTCAGGAGAGGGGCTCGGTGGCAAGTTTATATCATGCAACACACTATAGCTTATGCTATTCATTTTTCCTTTTCAATTGTTCTCTTTCTGCAAAAAAGAGGCAACAAGGGTTTCATGAGAAGTCTTCTGAAAAACCTCCATCCCTGCTACCTTCCAGCTAAATGGAAAGATGGAAAGTCATGGTACCCAAAATCAAAGACAATCTCCACACTTCTCCAGAATGAGGTCAATACCTGTTGTCATCTGCTGTAAACTTGCACGAATCAGACACAGTCGGATTCCTCCTCTGCTGTCCTTCTTCTTCTATCTCAATTCTTCCAGACAGAGAGGGGAGATGAAAGTGAAAAATATTACATATATCACAATTTCCCATTTTCCACTGCTGGCTAATCCAGGCACTTTACTTTAGCTTTCCCTTAAGCTATGTTTTCTCTGTTTCCCTCAGAGGTATATTTTTCCTGTCCTCTGTGCTCTGTGCTTCTACTGGTGAGCATCTCAAATGACTGAATGAAGTAAGACCTGAAGCCAAAATCAGTGGTATTTTTTGTGTCACAGTCACCTTACAAATATCATCAGGCAAATGTTTAAGTTCCAGAAAATGGCCTAGATATCATTTCTTTATGGTACCAAGTGCTTCAGAAATTAACACCTGAAGAATATTGGCACTGCTGATTGGAAGAAGAAAGGCAGAGAATGAATCAATACAATCCCTCCTCACTTCAGGTTGCCCATAAACCAAAGTATCATTACATATTTTCATCGTTCAGAACAACGTGAACTCTCAAAATTCCTGAGCATTCTTTTTACAGAAACTGTCCCTCCTATCCTTTAAAATACATTGGCATCTCCCATCCCAGCACTTAACAGCAACTCTGGCGTAGCACAAACACCCAGCCCCAGCAGTATTGCTAGAGCAGGGGTCAGTGACCTACCTCTTGGCAAACAAAGGTGGGAACTCTTGTGTTGGGCTTCTGTAAAGGAAGCATAAAGGCAGCAGTTAGAAGTTTGAAGGAAAAGACACACCTTAGGCAGGAGCAGTTCCCAAGTGGTCACTGATCCATATGGTGCAAAGCATTAAGCACCAATTGGGCAGAGCTGAGAGTGAGTGGATACACAAATTACAGAACAGAGTAAATAAAAATAGGAAGAACAACAATTTGTAACAGATAAAGTGTGTAAGTTTCCCCAAAGTGTCTTCATGATTTTACGCCTTCCTGATTCTGCTTTTCTTCCTCCATGTAGGCCTGCCTCTCTCCACACCACACAATACTTGATGCACCATAAAAAATAGCAGGCAGTTCAAATTCCCTCAGTGTCCTTATAAATCCTATCCAGGCACTTCTCCCATTCTCAGTGCAGTCACATGCAGCTGGCACATCCCCTCCTTTCCTCCCACACTACCAACCTCCTGGTGCCTCGTTCCATCACACTGAGTTAGGTCAGGGGGAAGAGGATTTACAGCGAAAGCAAGCTGCAAAAAAAAGTCACTAGCACAGTTCCTCAGAGATCAGAGGCCTTGGAAATCTGTTTATTTCCTCCCAGGAAAGAGAAGGATAACAGAGCCTTGAACAGCAGCTCCCAGACATATTTATGCTATTGTTACATATACACACATTAGTAAGGCAAACTACCAAAAAGGTGATCCAATTTGGATGCAGTTTCTACTCATGGGCTGTATTTGCTCTAATCTCCCCCTACCATGCAAGTACTTCCTGCAGTGAAACTAGAGAGACCAGTATTAGAAAGTGACTGACAATCTGGGTCTTAAATGTGTAGAGACTATCACAGTTTTTCTCCTGCTGAAATTTTATTCTTATCAGTAGGGGAGTCTTCTCAAGATTCCTAGAAGATTTCCCCAGTTCTGCAGAAAGCTTCAAATAACATTGCAATTTCTAGGAAGAGAGCAACAAAGTCTTCTCCGCTTATTTGGAAGCTCACCAACATCTTCGGTGAGTCTTTAGATCAGACTGCCACCCTTATCAGACCATTGCCAGTAGCCTCTTCCCTGCCTCTTGCCCCATATTTCCATGAGGAGAACTCACCCACTGCTTTTCTTGGCTGCTGAGAGGACATAAGCACGTTCCCTGCTGGCAGTGCGCCTCAGGACACTGTTGGCTGCCTCTGTCCTGGAAGCGAAGGAAAAGTCACATTCTGCTCGAGCTTTTAGGAGCTGCTGGGTGCAGCCTTAAGAGGCAATAGACGAACAGCCGAGTGGAGACTTGTCTCACACCTGCCACAACTCCCATGGCCCTGAAAATCTCCTGAAACCCAGCCAGAGCGAAGAGAAGAAACAGTATCTAAACTTTTTCTCTAGCATCAATGTTTCTCTTCACATTGGGCCATAGCACTTTCTCACAGATGTAACACATCAGGCAAAAAAAAATCCTTCTCCTTCTCAAGATCTGGTCTGTTTTGATGTTGCATGCTGAGGGACAAAAACGGGATACCAGCTTTGTGGCTGATAGGCTATGTAGACTGCACATGTTAATGAAAACACCAGTACCACCAAATGTATCAAAGGGGAAAGTCCAAAATGAAAGGATTTTAATTGGTTTATCACCACTGGTCACATTACCAAGTTTCACTGTAAAAGCCTTTATCTGAGAAAAACCATTTTGAGAAACAAAACAAAACAAATACAGATCTGCCACAGGAACAAAACATATCCTACTCCTGGTGTGAGAACAAGACTCTCATTCAGATCTGGACGTAGATACGAGTCCCCAGGTGGCCTGGTCTCAAAGACACACGTGTAGGCAGCAGGAGCAGGACTCCTCCCTTTACTTCCAGGCTATTTGTGCATCCCTATCGTTTCACATAGGCACCATGGAGCTGATGGATTCCACAACCCATTTCCAGCTACCAAATTAATTGGGGTATGCTGTCAGGTTGAATCACGTCAGGCTTTTAATTATATTTTGTTGAGAGTGCAGTCGCCTGTGGGCATTGATGTGCTCTCTGTAGAAATATCTGCTTATTATTTTATTGCAATCAGCCCTAATGGCTTAGCTATAATCATCATTGAACTGGCCCTCCCATTAAAGAACAGTTAATCTGAAGTAAGTTCACTTGTCTCTGCCCCTTGCGAGAAAGGTGGTTACCTGGAAGGCATACCTCTTTTTATGTTCATCTGGACTAAAAGGCACATCCTCCTCACCCAAGTCCACTGATTTTGGTTTGACATTATAGGGAGCTCTGAAACAGGAAAGGAAGAGGAGAGCCAGAGTAAGGAAACTGCCTGTGTAGAATGTTGCAACACAAGAAAAAACAAAACAAATCGAAACAAAACAACAATGCTCTAAGGGCAAGGTATGTGGAAACAGGTTCAGGCCCTGGAAATGTTGCATATGAGTGGGAGGACACTTGTACTTTTCAGCTGGATTAGGGAACACGTGCTCATAGGATTTTGTTTTATTAGTGGAGGGGTTTTAAGACTAGAGGGTTTTAAGACTACAGGTTGATAAATGCTCAGCTGCATTTCAGGTACAGCCACAGTCCCTGATGTTAAATGTTATGAATGAAATGTCATGAGTGCTGTTCTGCCATGAGCCTCCTCCTTTCCTCTGGTTTCATAAAAGCCAGCAATGCTGCAAACCTAGTCCCAAGGTTGCATCCTCCACTTTCTGCCTTAATTACTACCAAGTGGTAAAATTTGCTCCATGCAGAGGCCATTACCAGGTCAAGGAACACCTTACAGCCCACACAGGCCTGGAGGTAACACTGGAAAATGCTGAAGTTTCCAGTGATAGCTCTCTACACAGCACTCAGATGATGAAGCCATGCCTGACTGAGCACCTATGTGTGGGTGGCTTTGCTGCTGAACCTGTACATGGGCACAAAGGCACTGCTCCTCTTTGCACACTCACAATTTCTTGTAATCCTCAGTAGTCATCCTGTAGCCAGAAGAATGGCATGAACTGGGTCCCTTCACGGCAGTGCTGCAGACGGCACAAATCACAATGGTTAACATGACTCTCCTGAGCTCTCATCCTCTTTCATCCTCTCCCCATGCACCACCAAGATGAAGAAAAACAGAGTGATCCTAAGTATCCACCCTCTGAATTTAGGGGCAGAATTCTTTACATGGTCTTGGATTAGGATTTGAAGTCTATTTTGATTTTCCAGGGCCAGTGAGTTGTCAAAGCCAGTAAGAGTACACTCTTCTGTGAGATGATGCTACTCTATCCCAGGATTAGCAAGGGAGAAGGAGGAAAGACACTTTGCAGCATCATTCTTCTCCCCAGCTGAAACAAAATGGGGGAAAAGGGGAATTCAAAAAGTTTCATCTGACATGCAACAAACATCTGTCCAGATTAGATCATGCTTAGATCCTTCTACACTTAAACATAAGAGCCTCTCAAGAAACAGGTTCAAAAAAAACCCCAAACCTTAAAAACATCAAAATGAATGTCACAGCCTTGAAGGGCCTCCTTGTGATTTATACCCCACCCAAAACCTATTTGCCAAATTAAAACCAAATCTATGAGTAGTTTCACAGTCAACTGCTATTCTATGCTTTGGTGAGGAAAATACAGAGTTTGATGTCTTTTTTCCATGTTCTGAGTAGAGCTGCTAAATCAAAAGCCCTGTCTTTCAGCATTATATATAGATTTAAAGAAGCCCACCGGAAGCCCACAAGTATCAGCCAAAGTAAAAGGATCACTCAAAATATATACAGTATTTAGAAGTTCATTTTCATTAACAATTGGAAGATATACATACTTTTTCTGTGCCGCCTTAGAAGATGGAGAATTTGGCACGGAAGGAGTCTTATCAATGGTTTTTGTGAACACTCCCCTGGTGAGAAAAGAGACACACTAAAATTGTTTTTCAGGGAAGAGTTTGGAGTTAAGATTAGGAGACATGCAGCCATTCTTAGGCCTAATAGCATCTGTATGTTCATGTTCATGATACCAAAAATTGTAAGATGCTTTCCTGGGAGATTAATCCTGAGAAAAGTTCCATCTTCCTACTCTATGGCCTTACACAACACAGTCACATCAGCTTTCACACAACTTGAGTGTGTGTGCATCACAGGACTTGCCAACCTGGTTAGGATAGGGTTAGGTTGGGGCATTAGGGTCTCTGCATACAACAAGCTACACGTCAGAGGAAGCTGAAGCGCACAAGTCCCATCAGTAGTGATGTTCTGATCCTGATAAAGATTACAGAAAATTTTTGCAGCATGATCATCTTCCCATGTGTGATCATTATCCCATACAGAAGAGATCTGATTTTCTGTTAACATCACCATCAAATTATCTGTTAACAAAACATCCAGGACTATCTCTTTATCACAGAACACTCATCTGTGAGCATTACAGTGTTCCTAACTGGCAGAAGAAACCAAGAGATCATAGTATTTTTCATGTTTGTTGCTCCTGATATAGTTCTCCTCTTCCTCCACCCCAGTGCTTCTTGCCGCTCTGTATACCAACCTGATGAGGTAACCGGATTGAGGCTTGGAGGCAGGAGATCTGTGCAAAGAACAGACATCAGTGAATTAAAAAACATCTGGAAAAGCAGCACCAGTATAAAACAGAAATGCCCTCATCGCTGTCAAGCCAAAATCTAGCCAAATGGACCTTGGATGATAACTTTGTGACTACACCAAACTGACCCTGGAAGGATTCTTTAAAAAAAATCAATAACCTTCAGAACAAGATCTAAGAAAGAGAGCTAAAGGATGACATTTCAGAATTAGCCAATTAAAGTTATTCATGCTGACAGTTTTCTGGCTCAAAATGAAGTCCTCAAATTGATGTCACAGATGGAGAAAAACAAAGCACAGATTCTAGCTGCTTTATCACAGGAAAGACATCAGCTTCACACTAACTTCTCTGTCTGTCTGTCCTCAGAAGCTGGGTGGAGCATACTTCCAGGGGAGCTAAAGTAAAGGGCTACCAACAGGCAGTGATTTGGCCCTTTCATCAGGACAGAAAGAAGTGTTTCTAAAACTTGATTCAAGCTGACTTGAAAAAGCCTGCCTGCGATCAAGGTGGGGACCAAGACGAGCCTCAAGGACCTAGTTCTATCAAATAGGGCATTAACAGGCTCCTTCCATCCCTGCCCAAATGCAACCCCCCTTCTTTTCCTGCCTGTCCACATGCCCTCAGAATAATACAGCTGTAAGGTAGCTCAGCAGGTCTCTGGTCTAACCCGCTCCAAGCAGGTTCAGCAATAAGGTCAGAGCTTAGCAGGAAGGCAAGTTTACACTGCACATCACCACATGCTTAAAGTGACTGCCAAGCTCAAATTTATCCCATTGCCTTCAGACACACAAATGCAAACTCACTGCAGGCTTAGCTTAGCTCTGGAGCTCTCTGGATGGGCACCTAAAGGATGATGAATGCTAAACATAGCCCCAGGCTCCTCTTTCTGCAGTGTCCTCAGAGCAGGCACCAGCAGTCTGTAGACCATCTCAGTCCCATTGCCTAGTGGCTCCCTGTGCACTGAACATTAATTGAAAGCTTCTGGCACAGCAAAAGGGCAGTGCTATAAGCTCCTGCGTTCCTTAAAATCCTCATGATCTATACCTGAAGCAAATTCAGTTTCATTACAGAGCTTCTCTTGCTCTGAGGAGCCTTCAGGCTCACAGCATACAGATTTTGATCCAGAACAGGAGTAGATGTGCACCATTAAGCTTTGGGATCATGGCCTTGAAAGCATCCAATCCTCTGCAGTGAAGTTATTGATCCATCCAGTCTCACATCTCTCCATCTAGACTTTGCAGGACCTAAGCTATGCACTGTACAAGGTGATGGTTGGTGAGACATCAACCAATGTACAATGAACAATGTAGGCTCTTCTCAAGAACTATATTTTTTCAACACAATCATAGAAGTGAGGGGGTTAGAGTAAGAAGAACAGGTGAAAACATGCACTGATGCAAAGAGACAAAAAGAAAGCGATGGGATGGGTCCCCCAAATTACCTCTCAGTCTGAAGAGCAGTAGGTGCTGAGGTTGTGGATCCCCCACCAGTTCGCCCAGACCTGAGTACAGAAGAAACGACCACATAGTGAACTCCTGTTCTTGCTATATTACCTCGTCAAATGTGGCAATGGTTCTTTCCGAGAGAGCTGCCAAGATAAAGCTGTATGGAGCTTGATTTTACTTCTAACTGAAGAGATCCTGGTGCACATTGTTGCCATCCCTGGTGCAGGGATGGCTGCATGTCCCATTAGCTGCAGGAGGAGATGCAGACCTGACTGTTTTATATCATTTTAAAACCTCCTCATGTCAAGGTCTGTCTTTTTGCTCGCCACTTCAGAGATGGTAAAACAAAATCTGGCTTCAGAAACTTTGAGTTCTCCTGAGACCTCAAATCTGCATGTGCTGTTGGATTCACAGCTCCCAGCAAATCCCATTTCTCAGTGCTTCTCCTCCAGTCTCTGCCAAAATGAAACAGGAGCACTGCTTCCTTGGGCAGTGCCATTTCCTGGTGTCACAGGAACCCCACAACAAGCCAGTTCAACGTGCATTTCTCCTACAAGCTAGAGCTCTCAAGGGATGCTGATGAAGGAAAGGGAGAAGGGAAGCATTCCTTAGTGACAGCACTTACAGCGGGCTGCTCTTCTTTTCATCCTCGGAGTCCGAATTCTGGTGGTGAATCCAGCTCTTATCTCCCTTCAGGGTGGTGCGAACCTTCATCTGCTTAATGATCCTCCTGCGGTCTTCATCTGTAGGTGTAATCACACGATCTAGGAGAGGCAGAGGGAAAGGAAGGAGAGAGGAGAAGGGCTGTTGAGAAGGAGCAAAACTTCAGTGTCAGCAGGTGAGCTGCTGGCAAACCTTAGCAGAGAGCATGGGCCCCCTATCAGAGATGCAAACACTTTATGAGTCTTTTGCTACTTCCTATGAAAGATAAAAACAAGCTGTCATCCAAAATTCAGATCAATTTACCCCAGCTCCACTGATGTGTCACCTCTTCTAAAGAGACTCTTACGGCTTTTTTCTCCTTCTTTCTGGGGACTGTTTAACATTAATGAGTTATTTTCTTCCAGGGAAACCAAAGACATTCAGTGGGTGGTCTAATCACATATTTACAAGGCAGTGCATTTCCTCTGGCATTTCCCATCAGATCAGCTCTAGCAAAGAGCTTTTTTTGGTTTATGGGAGAGAATGATAAGTCTGGAGCATGAAACTGAGCCAATGGCTGGGGGACAAGCCGTAAAACACATAAATCCAGCTTTCTCTGGTGTCCTGTCAGAGAATGGCAGGGATGCCTCTTACTAAATTAAAACAAAACAAAACAAAACAAAAAACACAACCAAAACAACAACAACAATAAACACAAAAGTAATGACAACAACAAGGAATGCATTTTAACTGGGAAATTCCCCATCCAGCACTTTCTTCTGAGGAAAAGCAGTTTTTCCATAGGGAAATTATAGATACCAGATAAGAAAATTCCTTTTCTGTGTATTTCTGGTTATCTTTCATCCTTTGCCATTTTGGAAATGACTGCTAAGTGTTGAAAACATCAGGCCTGCTCTCCTCATAGAGCTTGGACCAATGCATCTCAGGTATTTAGAGACAGTTGTTGCAGCTTTACAACTAAATTCATATCAGCCAAGACAAGGACACTGCTTGTCTACACTCTTAGCCTCAGACAAACATGAAATAATTTAATTTAGCTACCAGGAAAGAAGGGTCAGCTAGGTCTCAGGGTCCTGTGCTCACAGTAGGCTGAAAGGCTGCACAGAAATGGTTATCACTGGTCAGCTGACATGCAGTAAATCGTTTAATCATTGGTACATGATCACGTGCTTCAAAACTGTTATGCCATAGAGATGCAGTGGTGGATTTTTTTTGGAGAAGCATTCATGTCAGAATTCTGTTAAGGAAAACCAGTTATACCAACAGTAATATAACTGTTATATAACAGTTATATATATAAATATGGAATTTCTCATGTGGAATTAGCAGGAGCAAAGACACTGATAAACAGAGCCATACCTAACAGTGTGGGGACCAGCAGTAACACTCTTCATGCTGAACACCTGGAAAAGGAAGGACTGCTTTTCTTAGTACTGAAATTTCAAAATCCACTGTATCATGGAAATAAACAAGGCCCTTCCACTCTTCTATTCTGTTCCAGATTATCTGTGGATTTGGAAGTGTCATCCTCTCTACTGATATCTAAAAGTCCAGTAACTATCTGTCACTTAAAAAGTAAATCTCAAGATCTGCTGCAGATTTCTGTGGCCTGAGCATGATCCTAAGTGAAAACAGCTTCTGTGAGTATTTTTCATGCTTCTTTGATAAGATATTATTTAAGATATTATATAAGATATTATTAGGAACGTATTACTAATATAGCAGAGGACAGATTCCCAACAGCTTGAGATGGAAAGGAATTACCTTTGCTGACACCCAGGGACATCATGGTTCTCAGAAATGCCTTCCTCCTTCAGTTACTGTTTGAAGACAACAGGCCTCTGGAAGAAATGAAAAGGGAGAACAGCAGATTAGTAGTTCTCATATAAACAGTTTCAGAGTCATGCAGAAGAGGGAGCATCCCAGCAGTGTCACAGCCACAGAGCCTAGAGTATGGAAAGATCATGACACACATATCGGAGTTGCAATTTCTCCCCATGCCATGCACCTTCAGCAACAAGGATGGAGAAAAAAATCCAGTGGATGTGTACTTCATACCAGTGAGTGGAAAGACTGCTAATGATAATTGCATCCTTCCTGGTCTGGGAGGAAAAGAGAGGAGGAGACCTTAGCAAAGGTGACCTAAGGAGATTAAGGCAGAACAGCTCTTCTGGAATCTGTTTAAGTAAGAGAAGCGGAGGATGTTTGGGTGAATCATGGCATTTTCACTGAGCAGGAGTACAATAAAAGGGCTCTTTCAGTTGGCAGACATGTTCCATCATTCCCCACAAAATATAGCAGGGAGAATGTCTTACTCTTTGTCTTAAAAGGGAAAGTTAGTTCTTGCTTCCATTGGCAATTGAGTTCCTCCTTGAAGTGCCCACAGCAAAGCAGCAAGGAGAAACTCCTGGATGAACAACCTTGGAGAAGCTTTTTAACATTTGCAAACAAACAAGCAAATGAAAGAAAGCAAAACCAAAACAAAAACAAACAAAAAACAAAGCAAACAAACAAAAAAAACCAAAAACACAGCCCCCAAATAGATCCACAGGGTTTGAGCAGAACCCAGGTTAGTTCAGCACCTGACTGCTTTCAAATAATTAAATAAATAAGCACAACTAAATCAGACATGTCTCCTTTCTTTACCCTTTAAAGTTTCTCCTTTCCCCCATTTGTTCCTTGCCAAAACTATCTGCTGAACCTGGATTCTTAAGTGACTATACTATTCATTAAGAGAAATGCCCAACCCTATTTGGGAGCCTGTGAATCTAAAATTAGGTTGTTATTATCTGCTGGTGGGCTTGTCTCTGCAGTACTGCTGCAAAGCCACACGCCCATCAGGAATGCCGAGCGCTGATCTCATAGCGTTGCTTCTTGGCAGTGCCTCCTCCATCCTCTTGTCTCAGCTGAGATCTGCCTCGGCTCCCTGCATATCCACCCTTTATCCAGTTTGCTCCCAGATGGAAAACAAGCCCTCTATTACCCCCAGGCTCCCTCTCCCTTTTGCAAACACTCCCAAACATTAATTCAGCTTCCACCAGGAGCTGACGGCCCACCTCTTTTCTTATCCTTCCCAGATCCCCCTTCCCACGCAAAATTTAATTGTCCCTGCTATTTAGAGAAAAAATATTATCTAGGACAACACTGTTGTTTTCATGAAGAGCCTCTAAATACTCAGGTATCTTTCCACCAAAGGCAAGAGGCCTGACTGCAGTCTGTAGGAGCACAGCCAAAGGACGTGTTACCTTGCAACCCTAGGTTAAAAAACTCACAGCACCCTGGTCCTGCACCTAGAGAAGTTACATGGCTTCACTACCTACCAAATCCGAGAAAGATGGACTTCAACCACAGCTACCTTGCTAACTGCAATTCAGAGGTGCTCCTATGCATTTGGTGCCCTCTTCTACTTACTAAATTATTTCTTATTTCAGTACAAGATAAAGTTGAAGGAAGTAAAGGATGAGAAACAGTGGAAAAGAACAGCCCCAAGAGCTTGAGACAGTCCAAATCCAGGGCAAATAAGTGGCAGAAGTAGGCATGTGCTACGTGTTGTAATAGAATGAAGCATTTGGAAGCTGGTTCCTGTCTAGCAGCACAACTCAGAGGGAATTAGCCACCCAGTACAGATCTTTTAGAAGAATAAGCAGAGGTTTAGGAACACACAGGGAAGATTCCCAGGAAGATGCACAGTGAGGGATGGAGCTCATGGGGATGCTGAGCCCTGCTCCTGGACAAGCAACAAAGCTCTGCAAGAAACATCATCTCAGTTTATTGCTTGAACAGCAGCTTCATTTCTTACTCACACAAATCCCCTAGCTTAACAAATACACCCAAAACCAAAGGGAAGCCACAAAAAGTGGCACTCAGCATGCATATAAATACACGTGCCAGAAACTACATGTTGGCCAAGATTGGCCAAGCCTTTTCCTCTGGCGCTGCGTTCCCTCTTCCTGGCTCACATCACCTTGGGAAGGATCACAGTAAATGCTGACATAACTCCACTGATATTTCTGGCTTGACAAACAGATGTTGGAACACGTCGCTGGTGCTCACCTGGCTTGGCTTTGGGGGACTGGCAGTGTTTTCTGCCAGCCTGCTTTTTCCACCTATGATTCATGTAATGGCAGCAGCAGCTCAGCCATCCCAGTGCTGTGAGCCATCGGGAGGCTCTGTGCTGGTTAATGGGCAGAAAGGTTTGGAGTTAGAGCCTGACTGCCCCACAGTGAGGATTCTTCACAAATGCCCTAACAAAGGAGACCAGAGTCAATCTTGCAGCAAAGCTTCTGTGACAGGCACAGAGTGGTGAAAAGGTCCTTCTGTGAGAGCTGGAGGAGACAGTTTTCCGCATCCTTTAATATAGTTTTGTCTTTTTCACTCACAAAGTGGCTATTTTTTACCTTTCACCCAGGGATCAAAGCAATACAGACTAAATAACATCACTAGAAGCTGAAAGAATGCAGCAAGAGCAGAGCAGTTCAAGTTCTCTATTTCTTGCTCCCATTCTTCACCACCTGCAGTCAGCTCCTGCTGGAGGTGTGACAGTGAGCTCTGTAAACCTTATGACGATCAGCGCAGACCTTACGCTCGGCAATGAGAGCACTGAAAGACAAATCAGCAAAGGTTATATCGTGGCTCCTGCAGTTAGAATAACTCAACATTTCCTACATGAGAAAGGAAAGCTCATTTTCTTGTTTTAGTGTCCGCTGGCACCTGGCAGACAAACTAATGTCTACAGATGCTAAGACAGAAGCTGTGCTGAAGAAACGAGAAGAAAGCTAGATGGGGTCCAACAACCCAAACCAAAAAAATAAAAAAGGCAAATCAGTGAAGTAGAATCACGAATATTATTTCCCAAAGCAAGCCAGTATTATTTCTCCATGCTTTAATACTCCAGTGGCTGGTGGTTAGAACAAGAAATGGGAGATGCAGCTTCTGCAGCTGAACAAGGCTGCAGTGGGACCACAACCCAGTGCATCTGTTCAAACCACATGGCTGTTCAGAAAGGAGGGTGGGATTCATGGGGCCAGAGAGGATTAGCAAATGGGCATCTGACCTCCAGAGAGCTGACACAACACTCCTGGGAAAGTAGTGCTTCTCACTGCTCCAGGGACTGCTTAGAAATTGAAACAGTTTCCCCTTTCTACCAAAATCTGCATTTAAGCTTTAACACATGTATTGCAGGACCTCAAAGCATGTTTCAAAGCATTTTTTTCCAAGTCTGCAGTGCAGAAAATCTCAAAGATCTCCACTCAAGATTTGGAGGACGTTTCATCACATTTGCCTGCCATTATACTCTTAAAAGGTAGTGGCAAGCCAACATAGAGCAATTCCAAAATCTTCCTTATCAAAATGCACTAGGGGATGCAGTTTTTCGTAAGTACACTTTTAAGGTATTGGAAATTCCACCACAGATAGTAGTTAAGTAATAAAGGAGGAAAAAAAAAAAACAAAAACCCCAAAACATGTTTTTGTTGGCATATCTTATTTGGGAATCAATCATCAGCTACTGCCACAGGCTACAATAATTTCTTCTATTGCTATGGAAACAAATCCATTTGCCTAGTTCTGGGATAGATTGCAACTGATCCCAACAGCTCCCCTTCCCACCTGGAGAAGTGGAACACTACCTGCCTTGAATGAAGCTTAAAAATCTGAAGTCAGCAGGTGAGGAGAGAGGAAGCGACGATGCTCTATGCGCCTCTGGATGTGAGACAAGACAGATCCTTTTTCTCCCCTTGTCCAAATCCAAGGCTGTGTTAGAGTACATAATATTTCCGGAGGTTTTAAGATCCAAAAGCACTGTTCCACCTGACTGAGGGTCATTTTGGAGCTAAGAGTATGGCCCGTCAGTCAAAGCAAACAAAAAGATCTGTCTCCTGGCAGATACTGAGGGATATCTGTGGGCCCGGCTATGAACTTAACTTCCAGATATTGATCACTGCAGCTACCCTTTCAGGACAGCTTTTCCTTTCCTCTGTGCAAGATGCCAGAGTTGTGCTGCTGCTTGCCCACCTCTTACCATCACAACTCAAACATTTGTGCAACACCTGGCCCTTGGGGGAATTAAATGGGATAAAAGGGATAAATGGGAAATAAAAGAGATAAAAGACAGTTCAGATGACTATCCATGGCAAAAAAATTATGCTTTATAGTTGGAAACATGGCCACGGAACTCTAAATTTTGGGCATTCAAGTCCTCATGTCTATAGCATCCTATTGCTAACAGAAACCACGCTGCATGCACAGGAGCTTCTGGAACCATAGCCCTCACAGAAACACATGTAACACTGGAGAGAAGCATGACAGCAGCTTCTTTTCATGACATGGGAAGGTGTTCTCTGACAACCTCCATTCACCTATAAGCAGATCACAGATTTTGAGACACTGGATTAAAGACAAGCAGGTACAGCTGAAAAATCTGTGACCTTTCCTATTCCTGTCCCCACACAGCCATCAACCTTTTGCTGTCCCACAATTCTCTCTCTGACTCAGACTGGATCCATCACTTCCCCCTCACCTTCTAATCAAAAAGTAATTCTGTAAGGCTGGATACACCTTTTTGTCTTCTGTTTTATTCATTACCTAATAAAAAAATCTTCTGCTGTGGGACTGTTCTGAAAGGACTCTCAACAAGTCAACAAGTCACTCTGCTGTAGCCACTGGAGCAGTTCAGGAATAGATTCTTCCAATTAAACATTCACTACAAATATAAAATTTAAAATAAAAATATCACTTCAGAAAAAAACATTTTCCTTTCAAAATATTTATGTGGAACTTTTCCCTGTAGAAGCGCAGTGGGAGCACTTCACAGTCTCCCATTAAATATCTACACAACATCAGT